TTTTATTTTTTTTTGAGACAGGGACTCATGTAGCACAGGCTGGCCTTGAAGTCACTGAAGATGACCTTCATCTTCTGGTTCTTCTGCCTTTATGTCCCATGTGGTAGAACTGCAGATGTGCTCCATTATGCCTGGTTTATGTGGTGCTGGTATTCCAACTCAGAACCTCATCCATCTAGATACCCTACCAACTCCACTACACTCTCAGCCTCTACCCTTTCATTCTCTTAACATTATCTTTTCATAAATGCATCTTCTTTATTTTGGTGAGGTCTAACTCACCAGTATTCCTGTTCTTTATGATAGCACCTTTAAACATTTTTTGAAATAAAAATACCATTACATCATTTTCTTCTTTCCTTTTCCTCCCTCCAGCCCCTTTCATGCCTCCCCTTCCCTAATTCATGGCCTCTTTTTCTGTAGTTTTTACGCACACACACACACACACACACACACACACACACACACACACACTTCTTAAATATAAAGTACAGTCTGCTCAGTCCATACTTGTTGCTTGTATGTGTCTGCCTGGGGCCCTGTGAGATTTATCCCTTCAGTGTAAGCATGTTGGTTGGTATTGCCCTTGTTCGGGTCTTGTTTAGGCAGACATGCTGGTGAGACTTCATGCCTATAGCTTCCCCAAAAGTTTTAGGGGCCACAATCTCACAGCAGAGTCTTTTTGCCAACAGCATCTGTTTTGCTCTGTTAAATAAAAGAATCAGCCGGGCGGTGGTGGCGCACGCCTTTAATCCCAGCACTCGGGAGGCAGAGCCAGGCGGATCTCTGTGAGTTCAAGGCCAGCCTGTGCTACCAAGTGAGTCCCAGGAAAGGCGCAAAGCTACACAGAGAAACCCTGTCTCGAAAAACCAAAAAAAAAAAAAAAATCATTGCCTTTCCTTCACTTGATTGTCTTGAGGGGAAGCATTGTGAAGAACTTCCGCTGTCGAACGTCATGCCAGTCATATGTATGACTGCGTTCTAGAGGGAGAGCCCTGGCAGATGCTTCTGGGAAGAACATTTATGAAGCATTTCAGGTTTATAGAACCATTTATCATTCTGTCACATTTGATTCCATGTAGGAGCTCTTTAAGCTATAGGAATTCTTGGTCAGTTTTGATGCCAGAGGGGTTGGGTAGTCCATACAAAGTCAGTGGGGGCTCTGGTGCCTCCACATTTGGATAGCATCACATACCAGGGTTAGGAGTCGGGCTTGTGGTCATGTACTAGCCCTGTAACTTGCTGGCCTCAATCAGGGACGCAGTTCTTAACTCTCAGCCTTGGTTTTCTTGTCTTTGAAATGGGAGTAATGAGAACACACTTACCTCATGCCTAGGCAAGGAAGACTAAATTTATAGAGTGCTTAGCACAGCAGGATGCTGGGTGGGCAAAACTGTGTTCTTACATCACAGTTTCAGTGGGTCACAGTGCTGTATAGAACCAGGAAGAGTTTCAGTCATATACCCCGTTTCTCTTTCATGGTTTTAGATTTCCCTTCGTGTCCCCTGCCTTCTCCCTCTCTCCCTCATTTTTGCTATGGAAAACTGACACACATCCCAAGCATGAACTAAATAGACATGCTTTAAGAATTTGAAAGAGTTACAAAGTTTGAAAGTTTGCTAATATGCAAAATGTCACGTCATGGAAGGTTTTTCCTGTTTTATTTTGTTTGGAGATGTGTGGCTAATCTAAGGGACTTGAGAAGGTAACTATGAGATGTAGCACAAATCTTAAATGGTCTTATTAATAAATACAAACCCAGATCCAGGTATTGAGATGAACGCTGAAAGATCAGAGAAATGGAACAAGTCATATCCAACCTCACCTTGCCAATTCCTTAGCTGATCTTGTTTCCTCAGACTGAAAGTCTCTGAGTCCTCATCTGAATGGATCACAGCTGAACTGCTGCTAAAAGCTAAAAGCTTAAAAAGATTCTAGTTCCTGGTCCTCACGCCTTATATACCTTTTTGCTTCCTGCCATCACTTCCTAAGATTAAAGGTGTGTGTCACCATGCCTGGCTGTTTCTAGTATGGCTTTGAACTCACAGAGATCCAGACAAATCTCTGCCTCTGGAATGCTAGGATTAAAGGCATATGCTATCACTGCCTAAACTATATATTTAATATAGTGGCTGTTCTGTTCTGTGACCCCCAGATAAGTTTATTGGGGTGCACAATATATCAACCACAATGAGAAGTCAGTGTTTGATTCCTAAATAAAGTTGACCCTTTTATCTTGGCTTCTTATGAAAGTCACACGTAGGATTTGCATTAGTATTTTAATTTATAAAGGAAAAATGAGTATTTCTACCTAGAAAGTATAGTGCTTCATCCAGATATACATACATGAGGCTGAGAAAATGGTCTGAATTTGGGGAATAGAATTATAACTAAATGTGCTATATCTGGCTTTATTCACCGTCTTTCTTCCAGGGTGTATCCCCTACCCAAAGGTGGCAAGACCACATGTGGAAAATAATTTGTATTTTGATATATCTTTTTGAAGTGGAAACAGGTCATGTTGACTTCCCTGGTTACCAAGGCCCGATAGTCCTCTCTTTACAGCCTCTGAGTTTTTTCTGAACTTCCTCTTGGTGGCTTTGGGTGGAAATATCACGCCATAGGCCACAAAGTTGATGTGACATGTGTGATACTTTGCACTCTTGGTGTGTGGGCGGTTCCTGAGCCTTAAACTGTCTCCTCGCAGGAAAGGAATTTGGAGGTGTGATGGCTGCCTGACTCCCGGTGTCGAGAGGAGGGTGCTAGTACTTGTAGTGCAGGGGACCCAGGAGGACAAGGGTGGGGATCGAGTAGGTCCTTCAGGGCATGGGCCTTAGGCGTAGCCATACATCAGCATCCCCAGGAGAGTTGCTGTAACTCCTGATTTCCCAGGCCCAGCCCCAGCCCAGAAGTTCAGCTTTGGTAGGGTGGGGTTGGGCTGGAAATCTACATTATTTTTGTAAGGTGGACTGCTGGACTCAAATAGGTAGCACCAGCAAACCATACCAAACCACCAAATAACAAGTGGAGCAGCACCCAGAGAGCAGAAGCTCAGGGCTCGAGGACTTTGGGCAGACTGTGGCTTCCTAGGGTCTGGATTTCAAAGCATTTTGTGCTTGTCTTTGAAAGGTGGAAAGGGAACATCAAATCTGCTCCACCTCCAGGCCACAGGCTCAGTTGTGTGGAGCCACAGCTGTGAGCAGCTTGTGGATACAAGGGGAGTCTGGCACAAATGGGCTGCTGGAGAGAAATGGGCATTTGGGTCTGAGAAGAGGAGGGAGAACCCTGGCAGATGCTGCGGAAGAAGACAGTCTCTCTTTGGACTCACTTTTCTCTTATGGTGCTAATACCCAGTGTGGCTTCAAAGAATGAATTCCTTCTCAGGAATCAGTCTTTAATCCTCAACTCAGCCACCTATTCTAACCCTCATATTCCCACCCTTCCTGTCTGCCTCTGCCTTTCTTGCTTGTGGGGCAACTCCTCTCCTCCCCACCTCTCTGCTCTTTCCTCTTCACACAGCCCCTTCCACCTCATGCTCCTTGAATTCCTGACCTTCGGACTTTCACTATCACAGCTTTGAAAAGTGTAGAGTGGGAGGCATTGAGGGATGGTGGTGAAAAGACACAGCTGTGTGTTTAAACATGTAGAGGTGTATTCTGTTGACTGAACAGTGTAAACCAACTGTCAACAGAAATGATAGGGATTGGCATGAATGTGCTTGGTGCCTTGATCCCTGGCTTGGGTGGTTTCAGTACCACACTGAGCACTTGTGGGTACAGAAGGCAATTGGACTCTAGTTCTTGATCAGTTGATCTGTCTTTCAGGATTTCTCCAACTTTGAAGATGAGGGTTTAAAAGAGCTATTCTTAAACTTTTAAAAATATATTTTTAATGTATTGTTTGAGATTTTCATACATGCACACAGTGTGTTTTGATCAAATTCACCCTTGAAACTCCCCTTCCGGCCCCTTCATATTCTCCCACTACTTTTCTCTGACAACTTCATATATGCATTTAAACTCACTGAGTCCACTTAGTGCTGTCATTGTGTGCATGGGTATGTAGGGCTAACCACTAGAACATAGGTACTCTATCAGGGGCCTCATCCTGGGAGGCTGGGGTGGGGACTCTGTCCTCCAGCAGCCATCTACTGCCAATAAGTCCTTAACTAGAGGTGGGATCCATTGGTGCTAGGATTTTTGAGGGTTGCTGTGCTCTTTATCAGTTTGATAGACATTAAGTTGTTTCAACAGAATGCACATATGTTTGGAGGGGCAAAGGTTTGTAGGCAATGTGGGACCAGTGCTGACTAAAGAAGCCCTGCCTTAAGGAGTGTGTGACATGCTCCTCAAGTCATTTTACTGCCCAGTTTTTTCTGTGAAGGGTGCCATTTGTATAAAAAGCAGGGTTTGATGCTGTGTGAACTGTCCCAAGGCATATGCTCATTGTGAATAGCAAGTAGATTTCATCGAGAGCACGAGAAGTGAACGCCTGTGCCGCACTCAGCTTCTGGCATGTGGGGAGTCATTAAAACAATTTGCATACATTTAATCTAACTGTAATTACCAAGCCAATTCGCTTCATAAAATTTGGTGACAAAAGCAGTTTCGAAGCATTGGATTTGATATTAGGAAATATGAAGGATTCAAAATGGGTATGTCTCTTTTTATCCAGAGTCAACTCGATTCACTTCAGAAAATACTTACTGCATTCTCTCTTTAAGTAAAACTCTCTGTTAAGCAAATGGGTTACAGACCAAGGAACAAAGAAGCTCTAAAGGAACCAGGGAGATAATAATTTGTGTCCATTACCTGTCTCCTGTCCCTGTGAGAGAGACGGGCATACTGAAAAGGACATGAGGAGGTGGCTGGGCCTCTCTTCATGCATCTAGCTTCAGCATCCTCTCACTCTGATAAGTGGGTATTTCTCAAATGTTCACTTTTGCCAGTGTCTCTTCATGTGGCACTGGGGTCATGTCTGTGTCTTTCCTTTCTCTGTAGGCCAGGGGTTATCACCATGCAGGCGTTGTCGGAAGAGGACCGTAGGCTCTGGATGGAAGCCATGGATGGCCGGGAACCTGTAAGTAACAATTCAGGGAAGTGGAACAATAAAGACCCTGAGTAGTTTGCTGCTTCCCTACTGAGAGGTTTTTTGCTATTGCTCTAAAGCCTTGAGTCTTTGAAACCAGTGTCCCAGGGGCCTTTTTTATTTGTAGATTGATGTTTGTAGATATTACGGTTGCTTCTGTGTGTATGTAGTTCCCAAGTTTTGACCTTGGCTTCTAAGGTAGAAGTGATGTGATATGTGATGGTATAGCAGGTTTCCCCCATTATAGACACAGGTGGATTGTTTCTGCGCCTCTTAGAGGAGACAGAGTAGTCTGGATTACTGGATGGATATTGACCATATGTTGCCTTCACAAAGTAGGCTGCAAAGCATGAACCCAACTGCTTTTAATGGGATAAACAGTTGTAAGAGTGTACATAGGCGACACAGTGTTTTATCATTGTCATCTGATTAGGTTTCCCATTGCTATGGTGATTCACATCTCATGGTAAGCAGTGGGACATTATCAGGGTAGATGGAAGCAGTTAAGCCTGGCGACGTGATCTGTGCTCCCATTTCAGAGATGCTGGCCTCAGCAGGGTTTTGTGATCTTGTGGTTGTTATGCAACATGTGACATGTTAAACCCATCTCAGAGCCCTGGGGTAAGTCCCAGAACAGTTTTTTTTTTTTTTAATCTTGATGCTGAGAATCTCAACTACGATGTTATAATATTAAGGTCACAAAAATCCTAAGAGTAAAGTATAGCTGTTTCATCATAAAAGATAAAAAGATTTTACATGTATAAAGGCATGATCCAAAGGGGAGAAATGTGTGCCTGATAAGGCAGGTCATGGCTTCTGCTGCCAGATAACACTGTGAATGAAGCCTTTGCCCCTTGCAGATTATCTCAGTTCGTTTGTGGCTCTTTCCTAGCCTATGCTGGTGGGATGGTCTGGCAATACAGAGGGATATGCTGTTCTACCCAGCTATATTATATAAACACAGGACTTAATCTAGTCAACAAAACACAAGCAATAACTAGTGTTTTATAACTTTTAGTAATATGTATCCATATTAAGTAACTTATTAAAGACGAGGCAAAGTTGGGTAAACTATAATGAAACAACTGTTTAATCTGAATTTTTTTCTTGGGCCAAAATATAAGATAGCCTCAATTTTTCCGATGTGCATTGTTATCCATAGAAACATCCCCAAAGCAGATACACCTTTATCCTTGTAGGATGTCACAGTCAGAATTGCCATTTCTTATCAGAGACCCTCAAAAAGAGCTTATTGGAAGCCTTCATCTTTGCTGGCATCATCCACCATCAACTGAGCACCGTGGTGTGTGTGTGTGTGTGTGTGTGTGTGTGTGTGTGTGTGTGTGTGTGTGTGTGTGTTTTACAGGATTTAATATTTTTAAAATCTACTTATTTCTTATTGTCATAGGAAATAGGTGTTGGGGATTCATTTTGTAGTTGAGAAAACTCATCACAGATAATAAGTGGCTATCTTTGTAGAGAACAGGCTAGGATGCTATACATTGAAGAGACTTAAAGTGTTAGTAGGACGTGTGGATGGAAATGTGTGCCTGTCAGAGCTCTCACCTGGTCTCACACCCAGTGTGACAGCTCTGCTACCCGGACTCATGGTTTCCCGGGTTGTTCTGTCATTGCCCTGCGCCAGCTTGAAAATGGAGTTGGAAGCATCCAGGGAAAACTTTGTGAAGTGCTTAGAGGTCACTTGCTGCTTCCATTAGTAAACGAAGTGCCATATCTACCCTCAGATGAGAATGGAGAAATCCAGATGCACATAGGCAGCCACTGGCCCTGCCAGTCAGTACCCAGTGCATTTCAAGGAATCAGAGGAAAAAGGATGCTGGGAATGTCTTGCAGTCTGCACTCTAGTGGCGGAGCTGAAGTCTATCCCTAAATGTATTTAGGTTTTATCTTTAATATAGATATATTTTCAGACTAAGGACTCATGCTTAATTACTTCTGCAGTACTTACTTTCTCTGGCTCACTTGAATGACTCCCCAAACTCAGAATGGGAAATCCTTGGGGCGAAAAATCCTTTCACCACATGATATTCTTGGTATGAGTTAAACAAAATAAAGCAACAACAAAAACACACCCCTTGCTGCCCCAAGTTCAACCTCAAATCCTGCCTCACCATCATGTTAAGGCCCCTCTTCTCCTCTCCTCTACCACTTGATACCTGTTCCGTGCCCCTGTGTAACTGGCCCCTTACTAACTACTCCAGTCTTCCCGTAGGTTAGCACCTGTCCTGTGCAGATGCAAAGTGTAATCTTGAAAACAAGCATCTTTGGGCTGCAGAATGTACACATTAGTAACAAGTCTAAACAGGAGAGAATTCTGTCTCTGAACATTCTATAAACCTGTTGCCTCTGAGGAATATATAGCTTGTGTTGGAAACTACACCTCTGTGTGCTTTTCAATGTCCTAAAGGGGAAGATAAATACAGACAAATGAGGACTGAATAATTGACAGTAACAGGAGGTGTAATTTCGTCTCCCACTGCTGAGAGCATAGTAGACAATTAGCAGCTCCATTTTAATCACCTCCTCTCTAATTAGTTAAATATGCCCCCTTGGGAGTTTTGGCTTTGTCTAGTTGGCTTTTCCTCAAGCTGATCTTAGAGTAATTCCCTAATATTGGGGAAATTTTCCTACATTAGGGAGATATAAATATGGACACCTGCTGACCAAAATATTATTCAGTATTAGAATGTTTTGGAGGTGGTACTGGGGAATTTTAGTTTTTATTTTCTTTGTTCTTCATTGTTCAGTAACATTTTAGGATGATTGGGGAGGCATCTAAATAAACTCTAACTTGGTTGATTTTATAACATGATAATCATTACGTAAACCATAGTTTTTAGCCTATAGTCACACTCTATCCTAAAGACATGTTGAATATTTTCATGCTGTTGATGGACATGTGATAGAAGAAGAAACTGGAACTGTATTTCGACATTAAACATTATGATTTTATCCACAGATCAATGAAATTTTTCAATTCAAATGAAGGGGGCCTAGTTCAAAGTTGCTTGAGAAAAACTGTGTTTGTTAGGTGATGTAACTGAAAACACTACTGTATAGTATGTTTTGGCCCATTTGAACCAGATACATAAAGTTTGGAGTTGGCTTCCTTTCTCCTAGCTTTATTCCTAATGTCTTTTTTCCACACACAGCAAGAGGCTTTCTACCTACTCCAGGCTTATATCTTATATCAGGCATATATCATTGTCATCACCACCATCATCATCTGTATCATCTTCATTTGCTTTTTCTTTTCTTTCTTTTTTCTTTTTTTGTTTTTCAAGACAGGGTTTCTCTGTGTAGCTTTGTGCCTTTCCTGGAACTCTCTTTGGAGACCAGGCTGACCTCAAACTCATAGAGATCCACCTGCATCTGCCTCCCGAGTGCTGGGATTAAAGGTGTGCGCCACCACCGCCCGGCCTTCATTTTCTGAGACAGTTAAATTGGAAGAAATATTTAAAATTGCTGTATTATCATATAAAATGATTATCTATGTAGGAAATACCAAATAGTTCAAACACAAACAAAACCAAATCCCCAAATAAGCACTCAGAACTAGATGGTAAGCTCTGCAAGACAGCTGGGTATTAGATTCTCTCCCCACCCATCGTCATACTTCTATAACCTAGCAATAAGCAAATGGTATCCAAAGTTAAAAACGCATTGTAGTCACCAACCCCCAAATAGTGCTCAGGCACAGATCTCTATAAGCACTGGAGAGTGTTGGTGGAAGAGGAGCTAGGTAGATAGAGAGACTGCTGCATCCAAAGATCAGAGGGTTCGGCTTGTAAAGAGGACCACTCTCTCCAGTTCATCTGTAGATTTAATGCAATTCCTATCAAGACTGCAGCAAATTTTCTTTACAGTTTATCTGTAAAGCTGAAGAGACTAGAAGAGCTGAAGCAATTTTGAAAAAAGAATGAAGGTGAGAGTGATTATTCTACTCTATTTTAAGACTTCTTTTGTAGCGACAATAATCAAGACAGTGTATTGACAGAGGATAGACACCTGGATCAATGGAACAGAATAAAACCCAGAAATAGACTCATGTGCACAATTGATTTTAGACAGAAGTGCAAAAGCAATTTAATGAAGGAAAAGGAGTTTTTTTTCTTTTGTTTTTTAAACAAAAACAAATGGTGTTTTTTTAAAAGTAATGGATACCATGGGCAAAAACCAGAAACGCCAACTTAAGTCTCATATATTACATAAGAATTAATTCAAAGTGAATCATAGATTTATGTATAAAATGTAAAACTATAAGACTTTCAGATGACAAAAATTATTTTGATGTAGGGCTCTGTGAATTTTTTCAACACCACATCAAAATATGGCTCATAAAGTTTAGAGGGAAAAAAGAGGATAACTTTTTCTTCACCAAATTTAGAACTTTTGCTTTTGTATATGCAAGATCCTGTTGAGAAGAAGAAAAGAGAATCTCTAGAGTGGATGAAAACGTTTGCCAGTCATTTTTCTGACAAAGGACCTACATATAATAATGTAAAAAGAACTCTTAAAACAGTTCAACACCCAATTAGGATATAGATAAAAGAGCCATTTTAAAATGAAGTTTTAGAGACTGAAGAAAAGGGTCAGCAGTTAAGAGCACCCCCTGCTCTTGCAGAAGACAGGAATTTGATTCCTAGCACCCATCATAGGCAGCTCATAACTGCTCAGAACTCTAGTTTTGGGCATCTGATGCCTTCTTCTGGCCTCGACAGGCATCTGAATTACACATTCACACATATAAATAAAAACAAAATAACTCTTAAAATGAAGTTATAAAAATTACATAAAAGCTCACAGAAAGTTGTTCCATATCATTAGTCATTAGGGAACTACAAATTAAAACCATAGTGTGTGGAGGTCATTACACAAAACTATAATCAATCAAAATGCAGAGCTACGGAGCTCAGTCCCAAAGGACATAACTGCAATAGAATTCCTGCATCTAAGCCTCAGGCAACATT